GTAATAGTAAGAATTATATACCATGAAGTCGATTCTGATTATTTGACTTCTATACCGACCATCTTGCTGAAGGCTATTTTGGGAGCACTATGGGGCTGTGCAACTTATCCAAGCTTACATAGGCTGGCTTTTCTCCCTGGAGGCACAATGGGGAACCAAATTCTCCACCTCTGTCTCAGAGCCAGGTATTCAACTCACTGATCTATCCTATTAGCTTAAGGGGTTCTACACCCATATTTATTTGAAAATTACCACTCCTGGAAACTTCTTATTTGCAGAATTCTTTTAAATAGCAGGGACATCCAAAAGCTGCATTTTGCTCACTCTTGGTATAAATCAGATAAATACATAAATAACTCATTATTGTACTTTGTTTTTTAAAATGGATTTACCCATGACAAAAAGCCCTTTCCCTTAATTAGATCTGTTAGAACAACATATGCCCTTCAATTCACTGATGAAACTAAAGACAGTTGAGTACTCATTTATGTTCTGCTTTTCAACAGTAAGGTTACTGTTTGCCTAATTAAGCTGCCAATCAAAATACAAACATAGCCCACCATAATTATTTTGCATTTGTAGCTAGACAAGGTCAAGTGAATTCCCAGAGATTGGCTTGTTATACTGTTCCACTCTACTCCAATATTTTGCAGGTTAATGTTAGGGCTGTGATTGAAAGAAATTGACAAGCATCCTGTAACACTGTCTCACAATAGTGGCTTTCCCCATCCACTTAAGGCAACTACAGCAACAACGGCTGCAAAACAGATCACAGAAGTATCCAAAACAATGACAATGGCTATGTGATCCAAACATATGCTTCATCACCCATAACTATAAGAGAGATCATGATCACAAAAACAGCACAGAGACTGTGATCAGGTTCAGTTTAAAATTTTGACAACTCCTCATTTTGCGCCTCCACATGTCCAATCCCACCTCAAACCATTGCTCGCCTTGGCTACTTATATTCTCCTCTCAAACTGAGTTTTTGCTCTTTCCCCTTCCGACTCCCGCTTTCCTCTACCAGACCCCTTTCTTTCGACTCCCTTTCTCTCTCCCTCCTTAGTAATGTTTTCCTTTGAGTCCGACTCTACACCAATACTCTCCTGTTCCGATCCTCCCACTACACTCTCTGTCTCTTGAGACGACACTCTCTCCTTCGGATCTCCTTCACAGAGACCCATCCTTTCCAAAGTGCCATGATTATTATCATCAGCACCAACTTTCTTTCCACCTTTCCCCTTAAAAAGTATACAGTATATTGTTTAAACTTCGGGTATGTTAAACAAATTTTAAAATGCAGTAACTTTAATCATTTCACCCTTCCCCTTGTTTTCTGACCTTAGCAGGCTTGGTTTTCCATTAGCCCACCCAATTAAACAGCTGCCCAGGGCAGAGGGGAGAGGAGCTGCCAGGATCAACTCCCGCTCTGCAGGACAAAGAAAATGATTTTTTTAGTTGCAGAAGAGGTAGCCATATTAGTCTGTGCAAACATTACAGGTAAAAACACAATAAAGATTTTTTAAAAATAAGAACAAATTTTAAAAAAAAAAGTGGTGGCACCTTAAAGACTCTTATAATATTTTATGAGAGCTTTTAAAAGGTCTTTAAGGTGCCACCATGTGTTGTCTTTTTTCTTTCTTCTTTTATTATTTTTATGTTTATTTTGTTTTCACGTATAAAAAGATTTTTGTTCATGATTTCACGGTCACCTTCACCAATCATCTTCTTTGCTTCAAAGTTAGAATGGCACTCAAGCATCTCTCCCCCACCACCTCACACTAAACGATGCATGTCAAATAGGTGCAGTTGAAGATCATTTTTAAAATGCTGCCGTAAACACACATTGCCACCCCCACAATCAGGACGGTGCAGCTTGTACAGCTGTGTTTTAAAACTTCAACACCAATCAGTGTTTGCAAACAAAAATATACCACCTTCTTTTGCTTTTATTCTTTCCTTCCTCTTGAGTTTTAAACTGAATCCTTAGTCTTCACATACCACCACACACCCCTTCTCTCCCTGCTCCTCTTCGCTCAGGGCTGATATCTGTTTGCAGCACACTCCTGTCTCCTTTAGGAAGGTTTACAATAGAACCCAACACCAAACATAGGCTACAAATTACTGCATTTGTGATGTAACTTATATATCCAAAACGCTTACAACCAATGAATATTTAGAATGTTCTACTTGTGAAACTGATACTTCATCCATTATTTCATTTTGTTTCCATGTTTGTATGTTTGGTGAAGTGGACTTGTCCACAAAAGCTCACATTAAAATATAATAGTTTTCGAAGTGCCACGTATTTTTGTTTTTGTTTTCTTTCTTTAGATTTTGCCTGATACCCACCACAGGAGTTTCTCTCCCTGATTTGATACAAAACTAGTGGAGAGACTCCACACACACAAAATGCAACACATCACAATTTGTTGGCTTTTGGTTATAATAAATATAACTTAGCAGAATTTGCATATAGCAGCAGGAAATGTTTGGATTAAAAAACAACAACCACTGTTTGTATAGAGTAAAATTTGTTGTTCTCCCATGTGTTTGTGCTAGAAAAATGAATTTAAAATAATCACTTGTGTCTTGGTTAAAACATGAAATAACTTTTACTATTAATAAACAAGAGACCAAACTGCCAACATGCTAACATGCGCTGGATTATGGAGAAAGCCAGAGAGTTCCAGAAAAACATCTACTTCTGCTTCATTGACTATGCAAAAG